TCGTATTTGCTAAGGCGACCGTTGGCGGCTATATCAGCACTGGACGGCAAATTAGCGACCGAAGTCATCGGTGTGGTGATATTTCCTGAAGTTTGCGTGGTTACAACAGTCGGCGATGAAGACTGCGTATCGCAATGTTGCGAAGCAATTAGATTCGCCAAATTTTGATTGACGTATGGCCACACTGAGCCACCCGTTGCTTGGGCACTTGAAGCGTACTGGTGCAACAATGCCAATTGAGCTTGCAGTTGACGCACATAATGGTAAGCTGCTAAGGCTACGCAGATTTGCGCATTAGTGGTCCCAGACGCATTATTAAAATTATTGTTGGCCATAGCAAGCGGAATCGCTGCCACTGCATCGCGTTCTTCGGCATTGCTGCGAGACCGTCCCTGATGATTCTCTCCAGATGAATGATTTACTGCAGAGGTTTGTATTTGGGGCGGTTCCTCGCGTTGTTGATTGCAATTATGCGCCTGTGGTAATGGAGTCACAGTAACGTCGCTTAGCTTGGATTCTGCTGCTTGAATATCCATTACAGACGTCGTGTCGTATTCTGGAAAGTAAAAATCGTAAAAGAAGTTCGTTTAAAAGACTTTTTTTAATAATTTCTCGATTTTTTTCTTATTCTTAGCGCGTCTATGTTCTCTCGATAAGACAATGCAATTGAAATAAAAAAATTTTTTTTTAATGGCAATGAAAATAAAGCATTACGAAGGGAAAGAAAAGATTGCTTCGATTATCGTTTAAAAAAAATTAATTAAGTGGCGTTTTCAGCTAAACAAGTGAAGACACACATAGGCCAAAAACAAAAAAAAAAAAGAAAAAAAAATTCTCTACAAATACAATGCAATCAGTTTTACATTTAGTGCCGCGGATTTGTCTTATATAAGATCATTCATTTTGGAATTTCGAAAGTGAAAGTAAGTAAAAGGCACTTCTGATTGAGATATGGACCACATTCTTTTACGACATATTCTTTTCGGGTTGCCATTATTGGTTTGAAGAAAACACATCTGATGTTTCTGAAGGACGTTTAAGCATACAAAAGTAACTTCGGGCATTGCAGTTATTGTCAATGGAAAATGGCTGGAGAAACAAGATAACTGATTTTTTGTGATAAAAATATCAACTTGGACGATGTGTGGTTTCACTAAAATGGTACAACACGCCATACATTTTGGGACAAGATCAATTTATTGGGAGGAAAGTTCAATGATCGCTTAATCTCTAAAAATACCTATGCGCCGTCTTGACAAAAACTCTATTAGAGTTTTTCCATAGGAGTTATGTTTGAGCATTGGCTCACTTCAGTGTACCACGAACTCTCCATGACCTTGCTCAGCAAGACTACTCGTATTATTGATGAAATGGCAGCATATTTATCTGGAAAAATGGGAAAAATTGATGTTACGGAGATGAATTTTCACCGAAGTGCAGGACGATCACGACACGAAAATAGTTCTAAGTAGAAATGGCATGACGCAAGCAGAAAATAAAAGAAAATTCATGTTTTATATCTGGCACCATTTACACTCATTTGGTGCTTTGGGACAACATCTATCCTTTTACTTGTATAAAAAAAGGTATTTTTAAACAAACAAAGGAACGTACAAAACTAAGGAAAGCTTGCAAAAAAAAATAAATAAATAAATAACAAGAAAAAAAAAGAATGCATGGACAGATACACTTGGATTGATTCCCAAAATGATTGTAAATCGATCGGTGTAATAAAAAGTCTTTAGGTCTTTAATCTTTTTCGGTTTTACATACATCTAAACAAGCTTAATAGACTTTGTATTACAAGTGCCGTAGGGTAGGGAAACATGACGATAATATGTCATAGAATGACATGATCATTAGATCAGGCATTGATATTAGCAATATCATGATAAACATTTCAAGGCGCAAGGACGCATAAATATATTTTAAAGTTCGTTTTCGTGCAAACAGATCACAGTTTATTTTTTTCATTCTGCTATCTATTCTCCCTTCAGGCGAACGAGTGAATGAAAGTTTATTGCAGCAGCAAAGCAAAGCGAATGACAAAGTTATCTATAAAAGCATTCGTAACGTAATGGTTATTTCAATTTAAGCTCTGTTTCAAAAAATTATCTTGAAAAACTTTTCTAAAGTTTTTGATGAAAAAACTTTAATTGATCGATCGTTCGCACACACCTCTTTATCTACGTGCTAAGATTTACAGAATAAACTTTTATAAACTTTAATAAGTGATCTCATCATTGTTAAATTAAACTTTAAATGCAATAAATATTTAAAATTAATAACAGATGACTCCGTATTATATAAAACGCTTTTTATTACGAAGCGAGATACAATTTTATTATGCATAAATATGCTTTTGTGAAGTATGTTATTCGGTTTGTGACGTCGTGAATATACGCATGAGAGACTACTTAAAGTATTCGTTATAGCTCTAATGTCCGTCCATCTATCCGCTATCATTGGAATGGATAAAATCGCCAAATCGATATAGAGAAGTCAATGTTAGTGCGTTAGTGCTTCTCAGCCATATTTAAAGCGCATAAAATTTCAAAACTTGGCGCCAAATGTACGTCGGAACCATCTTAGTTTAGGCATATCAATAAGTTTAATTATTAAATTGCCAATACACACACCGCCGAAGGGTGACGGTATGCACATTATGTTAAAGCGTTTCCTTTACTCGGAAGAAATCTTCATAGACACTGTACAGCTTATAGATCCTTGAGTATGTCCGTATTTCTATCCAGCTGTTTTTTGCCTTTGACCAGCATTCCCCTGTTTTCGAAAATTAAGATATGGGTTTTAAATTGTACAAAAACCTTAGAGCGTAGCAAGTGATCGAAATATTGGTCCAATCCGAATTGTTTTCAATAGCTTTCGTCTTTGGCTGAAAAGGTTTTGGTGTAGGAAATTTAGATTAAACATAGGAAAACAAGACGGACAGACGGACGAATAGCGGTGTTGCAAATACTGAATCGATTTAAATATGTCCGTCTGGCCACGCCTACAACATGCTAGCCTGCCCATGTAAGCATTCTACCGTTCGCAAATCTAAAATATCGCTTATGAATTTGCATGAAAGTTTGAAAAAATTGAAATGATGTAAGCAGATCAAAAGGCACGCCTACAAAACTATGAACACCTTTACTTTCCGTGTCATTTGCTCGTTGCTCATAAACTACAACAGATAGACGATATAAATTTCCGCAAAATTATGTTATAAGAATATTAAAAATCAGCCACGCCCATCCAATATTAGAGAATATACAACATCATATTTTTCTTTTTTTTCCACAATCTTTTATAGCATAATACTGATGGGTATAAAAGATGCGCTAAGCCAACGAATATAATTCTCTTACTTCTTTTTGTTTTTTTCTTGTTTAACTTACACTAACATGATATTCCGCAGTTATGTTAATTAAAATATACTAAAAGCGAAAGATTTGCTCTTTTGACCGTTTGATTATGTGGCTAAAGTGCATCTTTGAGCTCATTTGTAGCGAAATGATAAAAATAATTCAATCGATGCATTTGATGAGCAGTGTTTAACAAACTGAAAAATAGCTTTAGATCTTATCCATGGTAATGTAAAAAATTGTTAAAATCTGTGTTAACAGAAAAGAAAAATACAATTTTTTTCATTCAATTTTCCTTTTTTTTTTTTTTTTAATTATTCCGTAAACAAGTTAACGGTTAATTTTGTGTACTTTTTCAAGTTACAACGCAAGCATGACATGGCTAATACACGCTTGTTAGATTGTTGTTATCACCCACCCACGAAAGACGACAGTAAGCACAAACGTAAACGGCAGCTGCAGTTATGTATAGTAACACGCCTGCTTTTCCATTGGGTCATACGTAGAGCAATAAACCTAATGTTGCTAACACCATCGTTTCACATCAAAGTCAAACAATTGCTTGCATGACCAACGTCCCTTTGCAGCACATATAATGAAGTATAAGTCAGATATCCCAGACAAACAGACATACACACACACATATATATATATTGCATATGCGCTATTGGTTTATATGTCAGGCTTATTAATAAATATTTGGAATTCCGGTTTAGTTTCTTTCTATTGCCATAAGGCTGGTTAAAGGCTGGAATGTCTTGCCATTTAAATAATCGAAAATTGCAACTTAAGACTTACTTTTCAAATAAAATGCAAATAATGAATAAAGTAACTGCAAATGCCTTGAAGCGATATTTTAGATACCCATTGCAGCATATAATTAAGAGAATTATTGTATCTTGAAATTTTTAAAAATTTTATAAATCAAAAATCGCAAATGCATTTGTTTCTCATTCGTCGCCATAGACTGGATCGAAGCTAATTGAGGCGATTTAGTTGATTTAGTCTGAAACATTCGTCGGTTTCGCCAATTGCAAGTCCGTTTCTAATCGTAGATTATCGTTGACATCGTATCTTATCGTTAATCGGTACATTAATCAAAGGCCTTATAATATGAAAAGATTTAGTTATACCCTACATCACTTGTGTTATACAAGGGTCTATTAAGTTTACGCAGATGAATCGAAGACACATTGGGACTTGAGGCAGACTTACCTTTTGTTATACCAATCGTTTCAGGCACATTTTCTAAATCGATTTAAACGTTCCTTTCTGTCCGTCCGTCTGTCCGTTCTGTTTTCTTTTGTTCCATCTACAGATCGCAACAAAATGTAGTATACTGATGTGTTTTGACTCAAGAAAGGAAACGCTATTAAAAATCGTTCGCATCGAAGCACTTTTTTAAAAAGTCGCACAAGTGAACACTTGTATTGGGGGCAGGGGGTATAGGTATTTAATGGTGGGCGTTGGACCGCTATAGTGTTTTTACTTGTGTTAATGTTGACAATACTGAGAACAGTAACGGACTCGATTTTTTAGTCACTGGCATATTTTTGATTATCGTTACGAACGATATGGCAAAGTTAAACGAAACCCAGTCCGATAGTGATTGGTGTAAAAATAAAAACAATTACATATGCTTTTAATGAAATTTTCTTAATTAATTTTATTAATCACAACAATAATCCACAGTGTTCATCATTGGTTTTTTTTTTTTTTCATTAGTCGAGGCCGTTTTCATATCACCGAAAGTAAGCTGAGAAAGTTACCAAGATGAATGGGATGCATAAGTGTGAACAAGTGGACCGGAACCATAAGATTTCCAGACAGGTGCGGCAGCATAGGTTTGTACGTATGGAGCAGTGTAGGATGTAGTTTTCACCACGGGTGCGACAACGGGCTGCACTACGTGAGCGGACGAGTGCACCTGTGAGACACTTTGATGGGAAACGGCAGTAGGTACCGATTTGACAACGGTTCCAACCTTGGCATAGCCCGGCTCATGAACTACAGTAGTAGCTGGAGCTGAATAAAGCAAAGAAGCTCCATGATAAACACCAGGAGCAGCAGCAGCAACGGACAGCAAGGCAGCCAAGATGAACTAACAATAGAAAAAAGAGAAAAAGGAGAAGAGAAAAAAAAAAAATTACATATTTTTTCACTCTAATGATATTTAAAGTATTATGCATTTCATAAGAATTCATGAATTTTGTTAAGCTGAGTTTATTCTATGGCAGCTTAAAGACTTGTTTACTTAAGACTCCTGGACGATAATATGATAAATTTATGTTTCATTCATCTCCTTACTGGTATCCAAATATTATATCGAAATCCCGAATAAACAGCAAACAAGAGCTAATAAAATTAATCTATCGAAGAAGCAAATGTCACGAGTCGTGAGTGATTTAAATTTCCTTTAAATCCTGATTACTTTCGAATAAATTCTATCAATCTTCAGTTCGAATTTGGTATCATCCCTGTCGAAGTCAGGACTTACCAATTTATACATTTTGTCTATTGATTTGAAAAGAGTCACACTTCAAGTGCACGTAGCGAATAACTGAAGATGATTAATATTTTGTAATATCGTGACAGTGCTTTATATAGGGATAGAATTCATATCATAAATGTAATCAGATTGATTGAATTAAATCAAGAGAAAAGTCGGAAGATTTTATTACTTTTTTTTTTTTTTTGTTTTTTTTTTTTAATTTTTTTCTTTTATCTTTTTGGTCCCTTTCAAAGTGAATACAATCGCAATGAGTTGATAATTATGAATACAATCAAATTCACATTTTATGATTAAAAACATCAAATAAATAAATAAATGAACCAATCAATAACAATACAGATAGTAATAGTGATAGTAATAGTAATAATAATAATAAAAATAATAATAATAATAATAAAAATAAAAATAATAATGAGCGAGAAACCACAATAGAGAATTAAATTACTTATTACATTCTTATGCTCATTAGACCAAAAGCAAGGCTATCACAACAGCTGATAGATTGCTTTTCATGCGCACATGACTGACAATCGGACAAACAACAAACGTATCACATTTTCAAATACCAATCATGCATAGATATACATAAGTATATTGTTTTTTGTATGCATTCAATTCAATTTAATTCAAAATTCAAAAAAAAATTGGTACATAGTACACTTACCATACACAACGATGTTTATACAAACCGTAGACAACACTGTGAACAACATTTTTTTTTTTTTTTTTTGCCAGTTTCAGGTAATTTAAAGCCAGATTGGTTTTATGAAAAAAATTTAATTATTCATTAATTAATATTTTCTTTATCAATTTCAGCTCAATAATGCGTAAAGAACTTTTAAAACTATTACCTTAGGAGAATTCCAAAACAAAATAATTAAAAATATTAAAGATTTATTGCTATTGTTGTTATTGTTGTTGTGCAAGTATTTATAATATAAATTAACGGAAATGAAAGTAAAAGAAAGCTCACATCTAATGCATTAATACTCAATACTCTTACAATGTGGCGCTTCTTCTTCCTCTAAAATTCAAATATTTCACTTCATTTTGTTTAAAGCATTTGTTAAAGACGTTCGTTCATCCTTTTTCAATTCAATTCAATTCTCCTAAAAATAACATATTACTCAGTGACGCAACCTGCGGTCTGATAATGTTTCTTAAAAATCTAGTCTATTGCGACTCAAATAATGGGGAAATGATAGCGCGGAAGAAATCCCACTACTACACAATCGTCGGCAGGCAGTAGGTAGATGGTCTCGGTGCGAAGATAAGCAATTTTAAAGAACTATGTGTATCCTCTTCACTCCTTGCCCATCTGTTCAAAAAATTTCTCACAAGCCTCCCAGAATGAATACAACAATCGGAAATAGATGTTAAAGTTAAACTTATTGTGAATGCCATAAATAATTTATAAATTTTACTTATTAGCAACGAAAAATTTGCAAAAAAAATTTGCAATAACTATCAGAATTCAGTCTCAAGAGAAAATTTGCTTATAAACTATCTATTATTTATTCAGACTTTTCTTCCAATTTCTTCCAGAGAAATCCATAAGATTATTAATGCATTAATTATTATTATAATCTTATTGTTTTCAACAAAGAAAATCATTTAGTAAAATTCTCATAGCTCTTTGAGCTCTTAATAATTGTAGAGAGGAGACGCTTTAACAATTGTGAAGATTCGAACCATTCCCCGTTTAATGGTCGCAATTAACAATTTCTCTGTGTAATTTGTTTTTTTGGTTTTATATTTTTAAACTTATCACCGAAGGAAGAAGGAGGGCTATAATCATTTGCAACGCCCAGAACCAAGCTTCATAAACTGCAACAAAGTGCACATATATTCTTGATCAGCATCAAATACTGAAGCGATTTTAGCATGACCGTCTATCCGTCTGTTCGTTTGTCTATCTGGCCATTTGCTCATCTATGTAGGATCTGTGCCCATTTGCAAAAATTAAGATATCACCTATAAATTTGCGAATAAAAGTGAAAATGACTTAAACCGTGTCAAAAGACACGCCTACAGTGCTCACAGTGCGATTTTGTGCAACAAAATCGGTGAAAACATTTGTTTTTCTCTGTTTTTTTTGCTTGTTAGCCAAAAAGTATACCACATATACCATATACATTTCGCCTTTTATTCTGAAAATAGAAAAAAATCAGCCACGCCCATTAAATATTATAAAGTCTGAAAATCCTTTTCTAGGATAACGGTGATGAGTTTAAAAGATTACTTGTTTTTATACCAGTATATATATAACGCAGTCTGAGAAAAGATGAAACTTTTATTGTCGAAATTTTATATTCATTTCCTTCGTGCAACTTATACCCGTTATATCAAAATTTGTAAACAAACAAAAGCTATCTATTTATTGGGTGATTCGAGAGGAAATTTCATTTTTTTTTTTTGGCCAAAACTAAAAACGAGCGGCTTTCTCGTTTCCATATTAAGTAAGCCATCAAACGAAAGGCTTTGCGCAGAATCCAGACCATAATTCTTCTCACACAAGCATTACGATGTCAGCTATGAAGGATATGAAGACGGTGCGCCTTATGTCTTATGAAACGATGCAATTAAATCCAGTGTGGGCGAAATGCGAAGAGCCTTTTAGAATAGCCTGATATAACTGGAATCAATATTTTCTAACCAATCGTTTTTTCCAATCATCCTTATAATCTTTTCATAACTCGATTTAGTTTTTATTCCGACCACCGCAACATGGGGAGTAGACTCATTTTGGAAGCTTCACAAACTCTATAAAGTATATATAGATCAGCGTGGTCAAGTTTTTTATGCATTTTGGTCTCATCTAGTTGAAAAGTGATATTAGAAAATTCCAAGTTGATTTAGTCATGTCTCTCCAGTCTTTGTGCCTGTGTGATGTGCGTTGTTGGCAAAAATGAAGATATCGACTTTAAATTTGGCAGAAATATTGGAAGTTTCTGCAAGCAGTGTGGTCTTGAAAATGGGCCAAATTGGTGGGAGCAGAAGCGCACAGTGTTTCATAAATTGAACGCAACTCAGTTTCTTTTTGCAAAAAATGTTATTAATTTTTAATGATAGAAGCGGATGAAATTTTCCACATTCACCTTACGAAGCACTTTACCCGTTACGTGCAAAAATGGAAAAAATCTACGATGTCCATGTTAACAACTATTTTGTACACTCCTTGAACAAGGATATGATGTCTGCCTAAAACTGGGTTAATTCTAAAATTAGTATTTTTAAATTTTTTCTTAACAATACCAGCGATATGAATATCAAATAAAATAACTTGAAGCATAGAATGAGAAAAGCACAGTGATGGGTGGTGGGTATACGAGAGTCGGCCATCGCCGAATACAACTTTCTTACTTCTTATTTTATTGTATTTTTTCTTTTTTATTTTGTGGATTTATTTCATTTATTTACTTAATTATTTTTATTTGATATAATCGAGTTCCTTTGGACTCTATCGTTGAATAGGGCGAACTTAATAGGATTGATTCGAAACTTTATATTCACTGCAGGATGAATAAATGACTAAACGGATGAAGCATTCGGAGTCGCCGCATTTTTAAATGAGTGAAAGCCAAACAAAATTCTTTAATCCTATCTTTCATTAGATTATGCAAATGTGTCCTGAAAGATGATGGAAAGGGGTCATACGCGTGCTAATTTTGTATCCTGCATGGAAAATATGGCAGCTTGACTTTAATACTCGTTAAAGTCTCAGGAACGTTGGTGAAATTTATTTGATTTACCTAATCCTGAACTGCACCAGCGAATCGGCGAATATGCTTAGGCCAGGTTTCAAAACAATCAAAATTAGCCGCTTAATCGAATAGATAAGAGTCTCGAGTACAAAGTCACTATTTGCGGGTACTTTGGTCGCACCTCGAAGTAAATACCTAATCGTTAAAGGCATAAAATTTACCGACTTGGCACACACATCCATTAAGTTGTAACCTTTCTCTCTCTCTCTCTCTCTCTCTCTCTCTCTCTCTCTCTCTCTCTCTTTCTCTCTTTCGTCGCATCTTTCTAACCATTGCCATGCTATGCATATTATCAGACATTCCTTGACTGAATGGTCATATTAAAAAAGATGAAGACGACTGGTATTTGGGATCCAAACGAAAATTGTCTTTCAAATCTCTTACATCCATGGAATGCAAGAATTAGGACAGAACGTTACGATTCCCTTAACATACTTTTCAGCGACCAACAAAACTTATTTAAAATATTGCATTAGTGAAGGATCACGGCGAACTAATTATATTGGCCGGCATAAGTCACAACTGCTTTGCATATAACCAAGTGGAACTTGCTTATTATATTATTTTGACTTCAGGTCGGTTGAAAAATTGTAAAAAAAAAAAATTAATTAAACTCTTTCCTCAATCAACAATGAAAATGTTTTTAAGAAGTTTATCGAAAGCTTAAAGGATTGAAACGGTATATGAAAACAATTTTTTTTTTTTTTTTGCTTTTTACATATTTTTATTAACTTTGCATTCCAAGTATATAAAACAAAACTGGATTCATAGCGCGAATACAATTCAGAAAAATTCTTTTTATGGCATTTACGGCATCACATTATTTTACCATGAATTATAAACAACTGGTGTATGAGCATAAGTTGATATAGATTTCAAGACCGGCGCTGTAGTATAGGTGGTCTTAACAACTGGAGCCACGACATCCTGAACAAGATGAGCACTATTATGGACCACGGAATGACTTTGATGTGAAACTGCAGTAGGGTAAGTCTTTACCACTGAACCTACATGAGCCAAGGCCGGCTCATGTACGGTAACAGTAGCAGCAGCGGGTGCCGTGTAAACCAAAGCTGATGATAACGGCAGACTAGGACGAGCATTAGCTACAGCAGCGAGAGCGCAAAACAACACCACCTACGATGCAACATAAAATCGAATAATATAGTATACATACAGCATATATACATTTACATATATAAGGATATAAAAGGAGCTCTTACCAATTTGAACATTTTTTTTTTTTTCTAAATTAGTTTTTAATAGAAGTTCCAAAGGTCTGTGTTGAGTCGTTTCAAAAATAGAACTGATACTTATTACGGCTCTATTAAGCCCTTATATAGAGATGTTTAGTTATTTATATTTTGCTTTACAATTACGAAAAAAAAAAAAAAAAAAAAAAAAAAAACAAAAAACAAAACTTGAAAAATAATATTAAGGAAATTAGGTTTTAAGCCAAGCATGCTGTAAGCTATATACCTATGTGATTGTGTATGAGTGTTTGTAAAAAGGTAATAATCAAATTGTAATTATATTAAACCGAAAGTATAATCATTTCTCTAGCAATTGCTGGATGTTTGTTTTGCAGTTGATTGATTAACCACATAAAGCGCACACGTAAATTTTTTTATACGTTTTATACATTTATACGAGTAGGTAAGTGCGTGTAAGCAAAATAAATCTGTTTTGTTTTTTTTTTTTTCTTACTCTACAAGCAAGACAAAATAATACTTTGGCAAGTTGTCTGGCTTATATGCATGTATTGTGCGTATAGGAATTTTCATCGAAAAGATCTTCAGACTAATAGGTAAAGATCCTACTGCTACAAGGTTATATAATGTAAACCGCATAAACCACAACACGTGTCACACTATCAAAGAGGCTTTTATTTGATAACAATGTTATAAAATGAATTTCTACACACGCACATGACCAGACAAACAAATTCAAGGTATGTAATGTACGTATATATATATATGTAGTTTTACTTTAATTATTTTAATATTACGTTACATACAAAGTTTTCCTACAATTTGTTGATTTTGATTTCATTTAAAGCCTTGAATTTATTGCTTAAGAATATGTTGTAATCTGTTCACAGGGTCAAGTTCAATTATTTAGAAAGTCTTTAAGTCTTTGAGTCATTTCAGTTTTTATTGCCTTCTTTGCACATTATTCTCCTTCGTCTATATAAGTTGATGGTTTTTTGTAACGGAGCAGTAAGTTTGAATGTTCGGTACGAAAAATAATTCAAAGTTGTGGAAAGTAACAAATTAATTTTAATTTAGGTCAGTCAGAATGTATAAATTGGTAAGAAATTTAGTATGAAATCAAATTTATATATATATATATATATATGTATATATGAGAGTATATTTTGAAAATTGGCTTTAATATATATCCACGATTTAGGTGACTTTATCTTTCCTATTAACTTTTACTGCTGCTCGTCGTTACGACTTGGAAACTCCAACAGTATCCAGCCGTCCCATAACAAGGGTAATGTTGCAGGAGCCTAACCTTACTCAAGTTGATTCAGTTATTAAAAATGTTCCCTCAGCCGTTTCTCATCACAGCAATACGATTGTACGCGATTCGTCGGGGATATAATAGAAGATATTTTATCGCCCGCCTTACGAGCAATCGCTTATACAACAAAAACTATAAGCCCTGAAATATCCACATATCCTGCTGCAATCCCCATCGTGCAATCTGTTTACACTTCAGTTGCGACAAGGAGTTCAGAGCAATTTATGACAATCAACCGATCTGTAAAACACCGAATCCTTCGATCGAATCTTATCAAACTAATGACAGGATTCCCGTAACCCAATATACGGCTTCGTATCCATTATGATAAACATATCGGAAGGAGAGACTTTTGAATTTTTATTTATTAATTTAAGGTAGGCATTATAATGCTTAATTAAAGGCATAATAAAAAAAATTTTAAAGAAAATTCCATTCATTTTTGATTTTTTTTAACTCTTACCGAAAAGTGATAACATAATAAATCGAACATTTCGTTTGTAACATTCAAAGGATCCCGCAAAGCTTAAACCAATTTCAATATGAGTGTCCGTACATAATATATGTATATTTTAAAGACTTGCATAGCCGCAGCAACTTGCCATATACACACTTATGTTTATAGCGATAGATAGATGACAATTTCAAATCGCTTTACCTCGCATACTGAAATATTTACTGCTATTTTAGCGACTGCATAAGCAGTTTGTTAACAATTTTTCATAAAAGTCCCTATAAAAGTCTGATAAAAAATCGTTCCTAGTCCAAGCATGCAATGAGCAGAAAGTTTTTATTTGATTTTCAAATTATTTGCTTTAATTGTAGGGCGTCAAAGATACGCAATAAGTATTATATGAAAGCAGTTAGCTGCATTAAGTCTTATTCACTTTAAGTATTAACATCAACGCTATTGATATCGACAATAAATTCTACAAAATTCGAAGAAATTCATTTCTCAAGGATATACAAAAATGAAAATCAATCCCTACCCTCCTCGCTACGCCGAATTTGTTCGTCAATCATTCGAATCCATTTAATCCATGTTTTAATTGCATATTTTATCCATTTATTCATGAATTTCCCTTTGTGCGACACTTTGTTGTCTCATTCCTTATATCTTTTCATCAAGCATTTCTTATTTTTTACTTTTACTTTTATTTAGTTATTTATTTACTTTTTATAACCATCACCGAAGGATGATTGTTATAACTATTTTATCGAAATGTTTGCAACACCCGGAAGCAAGCATTAGAGACTGCACAAAGTACATGTATTCCTAAATAGTAAAAAATTCTAAATCAATTTAAGCATGTCCGTCTGTCCATTTGCGTGTCTGTCCATCTGTATGTTGTCTAATGTAAAGCTATCGAATTCAAATTTGGCAGAAATATTGAAAGCTCTTGCCTGCAGATTGCTATTGAAAATGGTCCGCATCAGTGGAAGGTTATGCCCGCAGTACAACGTAAACTGAGAACACCTATGTTTTGCAAAAGCTGTCATCCCTTAGCTTAGTTGTTTAGCTCATTATTCATAAACTATAGCAGATAAAGGTACAACAACTTGAACGCATATTCTATAGGCGATGCTCTAGTACCTATATAAAAACGGAAAAAATTGGCCACGCCTACCAAAAGTTACAGTTTATCACAATTTAAGTTTTTTTTTCAATATCTTCATAACGCGCAGGACCAACCTTTACACGCCCCATAAAGCATATAAATTCTTGGCCAGTTTGAAATTTCGGAGGCGCCTAAACATGTCCGTTTGTTTGTCTGTCCGTCTACCCAGCTGCGTAGTGCCTGTTGTAAGCATTCTGCCGTTCGCAAAAATGAAAGCATCGCTTATAAATTTTGCAAACGACTTTGAAAGTGATCCAAACTTTTCCAAGAACATGCGCCTACACACGCCCATGCGACAAAAAACTGGAATTGTGAAAATAGAAAAAATCAGCAGTGCTCTCTCCATATTATAGAGTATTTCACTTTTCTTTTTGTTTGTTCTATTTAGGACAGCGGTGATGGGTATAAAAGATTCGGTCACGATCGAATATAATTTTCTTACTTGTGCTTTTTTATTTTACTGATGCAATAAAACAAAAATTTGTTGAAAATCCATTACAAATGTTATATAATCTCCCTGCCTTAGTAGGTGGATTGATTTTATATGTCTACTATCATGGCCATTATTGAGCCAGGTATTGATAAACAAGAAGTAAGACTAAGCACGTGCTTCTCAGACAATTTTGTTGTTAACAGCTTTTTGCAACAGTTAATAATAACCATTATTATTATTGATAATCTGTAATTGATTAAGAATATTGGAATATTATTTCATTGAAGGACTTGTTAAAGACAAACTTAACACATCACTCATTAAGTTTCTGGTTTGACGCATTACTATTGGCAAATGCACATGGTTTCTGGATGGCGGCAAACTTCAAACGATACTTGTCAACATTCTGCCAATAACTGATCCAAACCTCTGAATGCGAAAAAATACCGTAACAAGCGGCGATGGCTTGAAAAACATTATGGCGACACTTGACTAACAAAAAAATTAATTTATGGATCGTTTGCTAATTTTAAACAAAGTGATACCGATACCGATGATGCTGAACATTCTGATTGTCCGTCTTTGCAGCTTGTTCCAGAAAGTCTAAAAAAAGTGCACGCAATCGTTTTGGAAGACCGCAAAGTGATGTCGCAACAGCAAGTTGTCACGCTAAAGATATCAAAAGGCAGGCCGTACACCGTTTTGCATAGACATTTATCAATGAGACCGGTCTGTTCAGAATGAGTAATGCGTTGGCTCATTTCGGACCAAAAACAACGGCGTGTTAACGCTGTTTAAGCGAAATGAAAAGGATGTATGAGAAGGTGTGTTTTGTGACAATGGATCAAATATGCACGAAAATCGGATGAGCCAATGAGGACGAATGAACAGCAATCGGGCAGCAAAAGCCTTCCAAATTGACTGGGAAATTGCTGGTATGACATCATCGATCGACTATCTTGGAAACGTACAAAGAATCAATAGTGAATATTATGCAGGATCATAAGTACGATGGAAAAAAGCACTAAGTTAAACCGGAGACTTATTGAGCGCTCTTCAATTTAGTATTGTGATCTTTTTATTCACAACCGTATGATGGAGACAAAGATAGGCACTTTCATTATTAGGATGATTTAACCATGCCTGTCTCTCCACATAACTTACCGAATTGCATTGGAAGTTTTGAACTTTAGTTTAAACTTGAAACACTTACTAGAACTCGTACAACGATCAACCAACTTGAAAGGTTATAGTAGCCTTAAGCTAACATACATATATTTTTAATATAGTATCGTGCGTAGCAACAAAAAGTTCAAATTTTCCGATCTATATTTCTGTCGAAAAAAGATTTTTCATTTTTTCATTTTTTCATTTTTATTATCGATTAAGCGAAACAACTATTCTCTGGAATTTTCTTTTTTCCCTTTTTTTTTGTTCTGCTTAATAAGTAAATTAGAAAAAAAAATCTCATCCATTTTGTTATTTTCTTATAAACAAAAACTTTTTTTTTATTTAATATTATTTAATTGTTAAAAAAAAAAAAAAAAAAAACGAAGAATTACGTTCAATATTCAGTCAACACATAAACGAACATAATGCAAAACACGGAAATAAATACATATCATATTTACATATATTACGGAAATCGTAATGATATTAAAGAGCAACAATTAAAATCGATGAATTAATGAGAGAGAAATAGAAACTTACACAGAAATCAATGAAAAAGAAATCGAATTAAATCAACGTCCAACTATTCTGATCTGGTTACAGCTTAATCATATCATCTGACTTGTCACAATCACACACCGTAAGAAATGGCAGTTAGTCATGCTTATGGTATTTACCAAGATGGAGCCCAACCGTGGCCGTACGAAAGGGCAGGACCGGCAAAGTGTAATGGTGCTGAAACAGGTGCGGGGGCAACATAAGTCTTCAATACAGGAGCCGAATGTACGACAGCGGTAGTTTTGACGATAGGAGCGACAATCGGTGTGACAACATGAGCCGAACTATGCACCTGAGAAATGCTCGAATGCGAAACAGCGGTAGGATAACTCTTAACGATCGCTCCTACTTTCGCGAAAGCTGGCTCATGCACTACAGTAGCCGCTGGAGCCGAGAACAAAACAGACGAATGACCCAAGTAACCAGGAGCAGCAGCAGCTACGGCAAGAAGAACAGACAACACCACCTGAAAATAATTTTTAATTTTTAATATTTCATTTAAAGTAAGGATTGAAGGCACTGCTTATGCCACTGCTTGCCACAGTTTGAATAGGAGATTTTGAGCAACCAGCCAGTGGCATAGATGTTATGCTAAGTATTAAATTAACTTAAGGATATGTAAATAATAGTTTTCTTAGTTTTATTAATTAATCGTTAAATCCTTTCGCGATCGACTTACCAGTTTGAACATTTTGTTTAAATATTGTTTTGGTTGCTTTATTAAAAGACAAGAAGAAGTAACTTGGAGTTCAAGCAAAGGTCTGTGTTGCTGCAATGACTGTTTTGAAGTCTGATTAGTTTATGTTGAACTAAAGCAAATATGTTACGGTTTATATACAAAACTCGAAGAAATACTTTAAATACGGACACGAAAAGCAAAAAAAAAAAAAAAAAAAAAAAAAACAAAACTGCCAAATGGATTACCAGAGCAGCAGTAACAACAACATTGAAAAGAAACATAAAAATGCAAAAAATAAAAAAAAAAAAAAAAAAAATGTAAGCGAGACAATCAAGCCAATAAAAATAAAAACAACAACGACAGCAGGAAAAAATACTTGAGTCTAATTCAGCATGAGAACGAAACCCAACAAAGGAAAATTGAACAAACACACATAAATATGCACATAGACGTATTTATGTTTATATAAATCGTCAAGCGGTTAGTTGTAGCTATAGATGCTTGTTACTATTGATACTGTTGTTATTGTTATAATTATTAAAGGTGTACGTATGTATGTATGCATTGGTCGGCGTTGGTGGGCAATCCGCTACTATATAACATATGTGCGTTTTTCTAAAATTTTTGCCCGAAACGAACGACCTCTTGTAATAAGTAAAAATTAAGACAGACAGAGAGAGAGAGAGAGATAAAGAGATGGAGAGAGAAAGAAAGAAAGAAAGAAGAAGAAAGATAGAGATAGATAGATAGAAAGAGATAGAGAGAGAGAGAGAGAGAGAGATGCATGTTTTTGTGTTTTCGTCAACAGCCGGGGCCAGGGCAAGAGGGCGTTTATTTTAAAGATATGGGTGCTAGTTGCGAATATTACGAACATTAGTTTAAGCTCAGGTGGTGCATTTGGAAAATTGCATCACACATTTATTTTTGTTTTGTTCAAAATTATTGACCAGAAGCTCGTGTGTTCACATAGTTCTCTGCAATTTTTTTTTTTTTTTTTTTTTTTTTTTTTTTTTTTTTAATTTAGTTTTTAAAACATAAAATTAAACAAATGTTCAATCTTTAAATTGATGGCAGTTTTATTATACATAGACTGCCATCAACAATTGCGGTAACGGTGCTGCTACTGCTGTTGATTGCTGCCGCACACTGGCACAGAAAACGAAAGTGGTTTAGTTTGGATCTTAGATTGCTATTAAAAAAAAAAAAAAAAAAAAAAAAAAAAAAAAAAAAAATCGAAAAATCTTGTTACCAATAAGTGCTATATATATCACGTACATAGATTGCAATGCACGTCTATGCAATAGTTCGGCTACGTCATATAACATAGTTTTTAAATCATTTATTGCGCTTTTTATTTATTTTTTGTCTAACAATCTTGAATGTGTTTTTAACGCTAATTGTTGGTTAAAATAAAAAAAGAGCATGTGCCTGTTTATCTATCTATGTATCTATCTATCTACCTATCTGTCTATACGTTCATATATTTTAAGCATTTTTTCAAATTTATTTACAATTTTTTTGTAAATTTTTGCTGCTTCTGTTTCGTACATTTTTTTCTTTTCGTTGGCCATGAAATTTGAAAATTTTCGCTGTTTGTACACGTATAAAATTGTGTGGTACGCAAGTTTATTTCATTTTTTTTATATTTTTTTCCTCCTTTACCTATAAATGCATGCATTTTGTGTGTGTGTGTGTGTGTGTGTGTGTGTGTGTGTGTCTGAAGTTAAAGTCACGCACAATTGCAGTCTCGCACACACAATAATCTGGTTCTCCATACAATAGTCTGTCTGCCCAGTTTTTTTTTTTTTTTTTTTTTTTTTTGAAAAATTTTCTCGTATACGAATATTGTGCGCATTTCAAGTCAAGTTCATGATTACGCACATGACTAGGAAAATTGTGTGTGCGAGTTTTAGAGGCGCCTAAGATATTTTACTCGCAACAGCAACGACAACAGCAAGATCAACAACAAAATTGATTAGTTTCCAAAATCAATTTACAAAAAAAGAAAAAAAATTCTTCTTAGATAATTTCCCCCCTCTTCGTTCGAGGCAAAAAAAAAATAAAAAAATTACTCTCTGAAAATTGTAGTTTATTTTAATTAATGAATATGGTTTCGCAGGTAATACTTGCACCAAATTTTAGACAAGCAATTGAAGCAATGAGCTTGAAAATTATTAAGCACAATAGCCGAGTAAATCAAATATATATTCTTATATAGGGCCAAATCGATTTTGCGGTTCCGAAAGTCAATATTAATAATATACATTTCTGACTAAAATTTGGATCAGATTTTTATTGTTTTATTCAATATATTGCTTGCATTTTGTCGCTATTGTTAATGAATTTACGATTGCGTTTCGTGCAAGCGGAACGAAGTTCTTATATACTTGATTAAATGACTTTGATTATTTTCACTTTAATGTAAGGAAAACAAACTTGTTGCTGCTAAAGGACTTTGACGTGTACATAAATAACTTTTAGGTGAAAATTGTCATTTTCGTACCTGAAAACGCAATTGCAGTTATCGTCAATGTATAGAATTCGATTACACTTCATTATTCCCATTCGTATCCTAAATTCTTGGTTAAGTCTTTCCATATTCATTTATCCCATTCCTGGGCTATTCTTCTTCAAGTTCGTTTATACTATTTATTTATGTTTATTATGATTTTTTTTTTTTTTTTTTTGAGATTGAAAAATGGGGCGGATTCACGCCCACAGCGTAAGAAAAACTAAAAAAATCCCGGAAAACATTGATAATTTTTTCAAATTTTCCTCTACATTTCTGAAAACTATCATCCGAATATTCATTACGATGCAAAATGGTTTGACGATCGGCCCGCTAACAGGTCCATAACTGAGAACAAAACTCTAATTGCAAATTATTGCTAATTTGTTTCCCGTTGGAATGAAAAATAATCCAGTGACTTTTGAAACGTCCTTGGAAAGTATAAAATGACTGTTTGACCATAACTCTGTAGAGTACTGTAACACTACTTCAATGGGACTACCTTACTATGGCTCCGGGAAAGAATTCCAATTTTGTAAGCGATAACATTGAAATATATCGAGGAAAGTTGAAACACTTTAAGGATCGCGAAGCTATCAGGAACCATTATACGAGCGATTACGACATTTACACTCCGATTTTGCAAAGATATTCTTACATAATTAGCTTGTTTAAAGAATTTTGCAAATATATTATAGGATTTGTTGAGTCGTCCCCGTTAAAACACGTATATGTTGGATAGCCCTTAGTTGGCCTCTTAGTATCGACGAACGTATAAAAACATTTTAATTTCGTTATAAGTAGAAGTCAAAATACGAATTCTCTGCTTGCTAAAGCTTTACAATGCAATGATCGCTAAGCACGCAGTTTTCTTAACCCGAATTCCTTCCTCAAAATATGAAATATGAAAAACGTGGGCATTTTTATAGACATTAACGGTTCATACGGCTTGTTGGACTTGTAGATACTTACGATCGCAGGGTAAACAAAATTATATTTTCTCTAATCTTTTTTAAGCAATATTTGCACAATATTTTATACAACATGTGAGATTAAGGCAATCGGAGACATCGCGATCGACAGTGTAATCCGCGCTAGTTTTAGTTTATATCAAAAAATCGAATATTTTCGATTGGTAAGTAAGCGTAGCCCGTCCTTTGAGCACAATTTCATCTAGAAGAAGCACGCAAAATTTGTGCACTAGTATTTGAAAGCTTGTGTTCCGCAACTTTAAAAGCGGTTACAGTCTGAAGTAGTGGTAGTAGTAGTAGTAGTAGTAGTAGTAGTAGTACGAATTTCCAAAGTCTCTCCCACTTACAGTTTTACTACGATTGACTTGAAACTTCAAGAAAATATTGTTGAGATGTTGGGCTATTAGACTAAACAATATATGAAAAAAAAAAAAAAAAAAAAAACTGTAAATGAATTTCGAATTACACCATTTTCGATATATTCCTGTTTTAGAAAGTACAGAGAACATATCGTCCAATAACTTCCAGTATTGGATTCTAAAAAGAAAAAACCATATATTGTTTTTAGAAAAATTCCATTTACAAGTGACGGTAGCTGTAGTTATGTCATTCGAATTATTTCCGATACAATGGAGAAACCCGAGCCCAATATATTGACTGCAAAAAAAATACCGTTCCAAGTTAGCATTTGCGTTGAATACCATTTTGCTAAGTGTTCTTCTCTGTCGATTTATTAACTTTTTTTAAAGGAGGTCGTACGAACAACAACGATATTGTTATTCTGGAAAACATCAAATAATATTCTGAAAATTATTCGCGCTACTCGGTACATCAAGTTGAAAGAGACTGCGTTTGAATTTGAGCATGAGAAGGGAAGCTTTGCCAAGTTTACTTATCGTGAAAGAGAAACATCAACTTTTTTGGCAGATACGATTGCGTAGGAAAATTGCCTGAGTCGAAATGTTGTTGGAAATCTCAGAAAGATATTCCATAGAAAGAGATTCAAACTAAATGATACGATCAGATTGCAGAAAATGGGGCGTATTTTGAAGGGCTTCACAATGCACTCTATAAGGAAAGAATGCTTGAGCTCCTTTCCCGTAATAATAGCAATTGATTTTAGTACCTTAACATGTCTCTCATGCTTACTCATGTCGGGTTTTCTTTTGTAGGCACATTCATCTCTCGAGCTAGATAAATGTCGGAAGGAAAATGAATGAAAACGCTTATCGCTACCGGACGATAGGTTAAAATAAATTCGTCTTCTATATGAGCACAATTTTAAAAATATTTTCGCCTATAATCCGTGAGCGGCAATGAGGATAAAAGTAGTTTCAATTATCGCTTAATGTTGCACTTAAAGTTTTCAAAAATTAAAGTAATTTCCATAGAGTTACGTTAGTTCAGGCGTTGCATATAGCTTAAAAATTTTCCTTCCCTTCAAGCGCATTACTCGCTTTGAAAACAATTTAAACTCCTTTAATTCGTAAGTGTGTTTGTTGCAAATTATCATTCTCAAACAAATCATAAAGAACCCCAATGACTAATTTTCATTGTAATTGAAAAGTAAATATATATATATGCACACATATATAGGTGTATGTGTGCATAGGACACACCCTTAATTGCATCTATACACGTTCATAGTTTTAGTTTGAATACTTA